GCGACGTGCTCGAGGTGTGCGACGACTACGACCGCGAGCGCAACGAGTACTTCTTCGACCGGCACTCGGAGGCCTTCGGCTTCATCCTGCTCTACGTGCGCGGCCACGGCAAGCTGCGCTTCGCGCCGCGGATGTGCGAACTCTCCTTCTACAACGAGATGATCTACTGGGGCCTGGAGGGCGCGCACCTCGAGTACTGCTGCCAGCGCCGCCTGGACGACCGCATGTCCGACACCTACACCTTCTACTCCGCCGACGAGCCGGGCCGCGAGGAGCCGCGAGCCGGCGGCGCCGAGGCGGCCCCGTCCAGGCGCTGGCTGGAGCGCATGCGGCTGACCTTCGAGGAGCCCACGTCGTCGCTGGCCGCCCAGATCCTGGCCAGCGTGTCGGTCGTGTTCGTGATCGTGTCCATGGTGGTGCTGTGCGCCAGCACACTGCCCGATTGGCGCGCCGCCGCGGCCGACAACCGCAGCCTGGATGACCGGAGCAGGTACTCCGCCGTCCCTGGGAGGGAGCCCTCCGGGTAGGACGCACTGCTTCTTTGCCCGTTGCGTCCGTCCTGTCACGTCTGTCCGTCCCGGTCCTCGTCGGTCGCGTCTCTGTCCTGTATGCCTCTGGGCGGCCGAGCCAGTCTAGGTTTGGGGCCCAGCAAGGGACGGGTTGGTGCTCACTCCCCATCCCCATTTCCCCGGGCACGAGAGAGTGGCTCCCGTACATATAAGACGCCCCTCTCTTGGGTGACTCGCCAGGCATGGAGAGGGGCAGGTAGAGACAAGCCTCCCATCTTTGTAGTTTACTTTTGAGCAGTTCCCAACCGGTTAATTAGGTTTCTGCAAACTTTTATTGGTAGGATTCGACAATTTCAAATTGAACCGAGAGCAGTTTGAATTATGTATTTGCCGATTTGGGGTGGTATTTGAAAAGACGGTCTTGTTATTGTGAATGAGGTCTGCTCTACACTGTCCACACATTCTATGCACGCAGCATAAAATGTACTGTAATGAAATTGTTATGTTATAAAGGAGATTGACTTAACTATAGACTCAGTCTAAGTAATGGATGTCATGCTCTTCTCTCTCCTTCTTTCCTACAAAGTATGGAGTTCACAGAGCGCCTGCCCACCATTGGGTACCAAAGATTCACACTGTGACACGCAGAGGGACCTTCAGTGTGGAGAGGGGAAAAAACATCACCTTGGGAGAGGAGAAACATCTAAACTGCTCCAAATCCAGAACCAGTATTTGAGTAGTTAATTTTTTTTAACTTTACTAGGATGAAAGGAAAATATTGAAATCTTTCCTTAGATCATTCTTACCTGAGTAAAGTTGGACTTTTAGGGGAGACTGCCTGTTTGGGCACAAATACAGAATTGCTTGTTTTGTTTTACCTTTGATACTGTTTTAAGATTCCCCTCAACCCTTTTTTAAATTAGGTTGCACCAGTTAATCTTTTCCTGATAGGCATGTGCATGTTTCTAATGGTGTTATTTCTCTGCCTTGATATTGCAGTGGGTGTTTTCCACATAATATTATTCCTTTGGAGAGGAAAGATTTTTTTTTCTTATAAATCTGAGAAGTAAATAAAATTGTCTAGTACCATGGAGTGCATTACTGATATCTTGGCATGAAATCCAAGATACATGCTTTGGAAGGAAATTCATTAGGAAACTAATTTTGTTTAATGTATTAGGTTTTGAGTTTTCAATTTATCAATTAGAATTACTTATTTTGGTACCACAACAGTACAATTAAATTAATTTAGATACCTAAATACGTAAGTGCCTTTGATTCTTTTAGAGGGCCATAGGAAAATGATTGGCCTTGAAACAATTCACTAGTAATTGTAGAATTCTACAGTTAGTGAAGGTTTAAGCTACATTAGCAAAGGAAGCAGGAGAAATGAGTTATCACTATGAATGTTTAGGGGAGTTGGCTAAATCAGTATATAAGCAAAAACAGTCAAATAAGCTGAATAATAATTTTTGGGGGGTGGGGGTGTTTGGGGAGAAGGGAAGGGCAGTCTGGAGAGCTTAATGTAAAGCATTTGGAAAGAAATAGGAGACAAGGATAATAATAATGGGAGGGAGAGAAAGAAAGGGGGAGAGAGAAAGAGAGAGAGAGAGAGAGGCAGAGAGAGACCAAAAAGGGAAGAGACAGATGGAAAAGAAGAAGACTGCAAAAGAAGTGAAGAAAGAAGATAAGAGTACTGCTTAATTTGTGTATATGTATTTCATGTATGTATATAATTATTCAAGTCAGAACTGTTTCCTAGATACGCAGATATTTCAGGCAAAAGCATCTTTTTCTTGGCTTAATGGCCCAGTTTTAAGCTTCATTTTGATGGTAGGTATATGGAAATCAGTATCTGTAATGCCAAACAGGTAAACTGAAGGATGACTGGATGACTGAGGAGGTTGCACATTACAGAGGGAGCCTCCCACAGGCCTCCTCCAACCCCGAGGGCCCTAAACTGGCACTTTGAGTATAACCTCTCAACGCCTGCTTGCTTACGGTTGCTGAAATTAGTCTTTCTAAAACAACATTCTGATCATTGGTTATATTTGACATCTACCAAATAAAGTCAGAACTTCTGTCTTGGCCTTCAAGGCTAATGTCACAATATGTCTTCTTTTTTTTAACTTAGCCCATTGTAATTTGCAAGAATCTTTTGAGTGTCTGCTGTGTTCAAGGCACTGTTGGTGTTTCAAATATTGTAACTTTTTTTTTTTTAAAGAAAAGGTGTCAAGTTGGTGATGTAGGAATCAGAGAGTTGACCAACAGTTGAGTTGTTCAGAGAAGGCCTTCAAGGTGTGGGAGGATGGAAACAAGCCATCTTTGGAAGGTTGCAGAGGTTGTGCACTGCCCAACAGGGGAGAAGGTATTATTTATGTAAACTACAGTGTTCGCAACCTGTACAACCATGTGTGCCACCTGGGAACAAAATAAGGAGAATCTTCCAGGTGAAAGAAACAGCATGGACATAGGCTTGAAATTTGTATATTATGTTCAGTGGGTATGAATCCAGTGAAGGAGTGAGAGGTAGATGAGAGCAGATGCTAGAAGGGCTGTAATGAGAGGGTGAATAGTTTTGTTTTACAAGCAGTGGTTAGTCTTTGATGGGTTTGGGGTGACTGGGTTATGCGTGTAAAATAACATCATGAGTTTTGCACTGTTGATTGGAGATGGGGGAGATTGAAAACAGGAGGATGAGTTTGGAGATCTATCCAGAGGAGGGAATGAGAGCTTGGATTGCTTTGAGGTAGTGAGAATGGAGAAGAAATGACAACTCTGGGAGATATTAGGAAGAATCAAAATTAATCTAGGGCATTGGAAGGATACAGGCTCAGGGACTGATTAAATGGGCTTCCAGGAGCTAGGAGTACTTCCGCCACCTGCAGGCTCCATTTGGCCAGACTGGTCTGCTCCCTTGTTCCCAAACCAAACTGTGCGTTTCCTTGCCTATTGAAACTGGATCATACATCAAGCCCAGCTCAGATGCTATTTCTCTTTTGAAGCCTTTTCTGATTACCCTAGTAAATGTGATTTTCCTTCTGAATTTCTTGAGGGATTGCTTACTTGTGCTACTTATTTGGCATCTATAATATCCTTTCTAGCATGGTCATTATTTTTTCAAATAAACATGTCCTAGCTCCTAAACTAGATGAGTTGAAAATCCCTAGGAGGCAGCTAAATTCTCCTATACTATTTATTATGATAGCATCTTCTAGGAAAAAAAAAATGATTATCCCAGCACAATAAATACTACTGTTTATATTACATTTCAGAATATAACCTTCCAGGAATATATCTTCTCTTGCAGAGATTGAAGAGCTGTGTGGAATAGGGCTGTGGCCTTCGGATGGCCCACGTCTTAGTTGAGGACAGTGGGATCCTGTGCTAGAGTGAGAAAAGTCTATTAAACCAAAGAACAGTTTTTTATGATGTACTTACTGTGCAAAAGAAGTAACAATATGATTTCTTTTTATCGGCCTTTTGAAATTGTGGAATGGCACACAATCTGAAGTTTGGAAGAAATCTTGAGAGGTTTTTCAAATCAGTAATTTAAACAATTTGTGTATGGATATGGTCTTTTAAATTGATTTGTTTTAGATGATTAATAATCATATAAATGATAGTTTAAAGCCCATAAGCTACCAAAGCAAGCCTTTCTCCATTACCCACCCATTCAGTTCTTTCATGCAACCAAAGTTATTTTCTGTCATTTCAAAGACATTTTATATATTTACAAAGCGTAACATATATATTTTCAAAATAAACAAACAAACAAAAAACCCACAGCATGATAACACTGCCCTGAAACTTGCTTTATTAACTAACCAACATGTCATGGAAATTGTTCCATCTACATATATAAAAGCCTAAGCGACCGTTCGACCTTTCAACTGGTAGCTGTGACGTGCACTGACCACCAGGGAGCAGATGCTCAATGCACAGGCATGGAAACATGGAACAGACTGATGAATCTCAGAGGGAAGGGGGAAAGGGGAGGATGAGAAGAGATTAACCAAAGATCTTATATGTATACTAGAGGCCCGGGGCACAAATGATTTGTGCACCTGTGGGGGCTCTAGGCCTGGCCTGTGGGGATCGGGCTGAAACCGGCAGTCTGACATCCCCTGAGGGGTCCCGGATTATGAGAGGGCCTTTAGTATGAGTATAAAGAGCTGTCTGATTCTCTTATACAGCTGCATAATATTCCTTTGTATAGAATAATTTCTAGATATTTGTATTGTTTCTTGTGTGTAGGATATGCTGTAGTGAATATCCTTGTGCATGTGCATTATTTTGCTTTTATGAAAGTATATCCATAGGCTAACTTCCTGAAAGTTAAGTCATAGGGCATGTACACTTTTAATTTTCATAGATAATTCCAAATTGCTCTAAAAAATATTATATCAGTTTATACTCCCACCAGCAATATGTGAGAGAGTATATTTCTTCATAATCTACAAGGTGTCAATTGTGCTTTTATTCTTTGTCATGCTGAAAGGTGAAAAATGATATCTAGTAGCTATAATTTATTTTTGCCTTATTTTGAGTAAAAGTACATCTTTTTAAAAAATACTTTTATTGATTTCTTTTAGAGAGAGAGGAAGGGAGAGGGAAAGAGAAAGAGAAACATTGATGTGAGAGCAAAACATCGATCAGCTGCCTCCCACATGCTCCCCACTGGGGATCGAGCCCGAAACCCTGACATGTGCCCTGATCTGGAATTGAACCAGCCACCTCTCTATTTCCAAACAACTGAGCCACACTGGCCAGGGCAAATTGTGCATCTTAACATTTATTTAGGGGGCCCTTTATCTTACTTTTTGGTGAGCTATTTTACCTCTTGCTCATTTTTGTCAATGACTTTCATAGTTAGAAGATTTTAAAAAAAGAAATTAGCCCTTTGTTTATGATATGAATTGCAAATATTTTGTTCTCTAATTTAGGATCCCATTAAAAGCAAACCATATTTGCCTAGAAC